AATATTAATAAATTTAGATTTTTTTTTAAAGATAGTCTGTCCAAACTTTCTTCTGGAGACTAGAAAAGCAATAAGGGAAGTATAGGGTACCCTGTGACCACTTGACAGCCAAATTTTCTTGCTTACCATTTTAGACTCTCACAGTCAGCCTGGAGCCTACTTTCCTGGAACGTCCTGTGCTGCTGCACACCACAGGTGGAATAGTTTTCTGTGTCCTAGACACACTAAGTGCTTTCAGGACTCTGTGTCTTTTCTGCAATTCCTGTCCACTTCCTCCCCTCCCTTTCCCTCACTATTATTTTGCAACTTATTCTTTCATGGTGTCCCATGAAATGAATAGAATTATTCAATACACCTTTTTAACTCCTACAGTTATTATATATGCTGTGTTCCCACAATTTTTTATTCAGATGACCCTAGTAGCAAGTAAAATTATATTGTAATTTATTTAGTTATTTATTGCATCTCTCAATAATCTCCAAGCTCCTAAAGGAGCTTCTAAAAGCTCCTCAGCATTTAGTGTGACAACTGGTACATAGTGCCTGCTATATTTTATGAATGTTTGTTATATGAATAAGTCAGTGTAAATGTTTTGGTGGAGCATTATACTTTGGTACGATAGCAGTATGCTAATGTTATTAACATTTACCTTTATTCCCAAACAAGGAAACCATAAGAATAATTCATGGTTTTATTTTCTAGAGAATAGACTTGTTCTGTTCAATATGGTAGTCACTAGCCATATGAAGCTAAGTTTAAATTAATTAAGATTAAATACAATTGAAAATTTAGTCCATCAGCTGCACTACCTACATTTCAAGTGCTCAATAGTCACATGTGGCTTGTGGCTATCATATGGGACAGTATCGAAAAACACTTTCATATTTGCAGAAAATCTTATTGTACAGCTCTGGTCTAGACCTTTGATAAGGATGTACATTTGTTCAGACTCTGAGATCATGTGACTTAAATTAACTATCTCCACCTAGCAACCACATACTCCAACTGCACTTTCAGTTATTTTAAATGACCAATAAGCATCTGAGCGGGGGATATTCCCGTGTCGGCCAATATCTGATATAGTAGAGGAACTTTAAGCAATATAGTGTGTGACTAGAATAATGGTATTAATAAAAAACCCAAGTGGCTATTTAATAATAATTGGGAGATTCCTTTGAAGAATAAGCTTTGTGTAGACTTGGGAAATAGAGCTTCCATTCTCTACAAAATGTCCTAACAGCTGCAGTTGTGTCTACAAAGTTAAGTTGAATTTTGATACGTAGATGATGTGAAAAGGACTGATGGTGTCTTCAGCTGTACCATGTACATGATTTGTGACACAATTCGCCGACTCATTTTTAAATATGAACAGTAATAAAATATTTAAACATCTGTAATGTGCTTTGATGGCTTTACTGATATGATATTAAATGTGATCCTGTAAAGTTCCTCCAAGATAAGCTTTTTAAAAAATAAAATGTGAAGCATTTTCTTCTTGTCTACTAGGAAAATAAACAGTAGAATTTGAAGTACTTTCCCCAGCTTAACTAGGAAAATATGAAACAACTACAAATGGATATTAGCAAACAAATCAGTATTTACTATTCGTTACATTGGGAAATTACAAAGGCATAGTGTTAATTACATCACCGATATTATCCTATTGTAATTAAAGATTTAGAATTCCTCTAATCTCATCATCAAAAATGGTAGTAAAAACGTATACTTAGAAAGTAACAGTGCCTTACGAAAATACGATGATTCACAGTATGGAAGGAGAGCAAAAAGGCCATTGAAAAGGACAAAAGTAATTGGAGAAGCAAGAAAGTATAGAAGAAGAAATATTTAACAATATCTCTACAGAGTCAAGGAGAATGAAATAAACGCAGGACCATTGGCTATTATAGCAAAGAGATTGTGAATTTTAAGATGGGAATTTTTTCTTGTCATTGTTGCCATAGAAGTCAGATTGTAGGAGTATAAAAAGACATATTACTCAGGGTTGTAGGAATTGTCAGACTGTAGGAATATAAAGAAGACATATTAATCAGGGTTCTCTAGAGAAACAGGAGATTTTATATACACATACACACATACACACACACACACACACACACATACATAGAGAAAGGGAGAGTGCTTATATATAGTAATCGGCTCATGTGATTATGGAGGCTAAGAAGTCTCATGATCTGTAAGCTGGAGAATCATAGAAGCTGGTGGTGTAATTCAGTCTGAGTTTGAATGCCCGAGAACCAGGGGAGCTGATGGTGTAAATCCCAGTCCAAGTCTGAAGGCCCGAGAACCAGGAGTGCTGATGTCCAAAGGCAGAAGATGGATGTCTCAGCTCAAGCAGAAGCAAATTCACCCTTCCTCTGCCTTGTTGTTCCATTCAGGCCTTAAGGGATTGATCATGTCCACCTGCATTGGGGAGGGCATCTTCTTTACGCAGCCTACCAATTCAAATGCTAATCTCTTCTGGAAACACCTTGACAAACATAACCAGAAATAATGTTTTACCAGCTCTGTGGGCATCCTTTATCCCAGGCTAACTGACACATAAAATTAACCATCACAGAACGACTAGCTCATGAACAACTAAGAATAATGGAAGTTTAGAACAAAGGTAGACCTAAACAGATATTAAGTTGGAAGAAGATAAATCAATGAAAAGAAAGATTATGATAGTGTTGAAGAGGAAGGCAGCAAGATCCTCAGGGATCATAGAATCATAGAATATTAGACCAGGAAAGGCTCTTCAAATTATCTGTGCTAATGTCTTACTAACACAGGAATAATTTCTCTGCAGATTATTTAGTTTTTGCTTGAACCCTTCAAGTGATGAAGTGTTTTTTTTCTTTGCAAGGTAGGTGAATCTGTTTTTGGACAAATCTAACTGTTAAAAATCCCTTCCTTGTACTACTAAAGCAAGATCTGTTTCCCTGTAGTTTCCATATGCTTTCTTGGGTGGTAAACAGAATGACTCTAACATATCTTTCCCATGACAGCTCTCCAAATATTTGAAGCATGTCCTTCCTGTTTTCTTTTTCCAAAATAAACATCCAGATACTTCAATTATATCTCATGACAAGATTTCCAGACCTTTTAATATTCTGACTACCCAATCAGAATAAAGTTGTTGAACTCTAGTTTGCCAACGTCAGTTTTAGAAAGTGATGCCCAGAAGAAATTTAGTATTTTACCCATAGTGTGACTGGAGCAGAGGACAGTGACATTAATTTTACTAGATATTTATCTGTTAGTTGGACTCTTGGTTCAAATCGAGCCAGTGATGAAGTGTATCTGGATTGTATTTGTCTAAATTGCTATGAAACTAGGTTTAGTCTCTTTTATACCTGAAC